GTTTTTTTTTGGGGGGGGGGGGGTGTAGCATTGTGGTTTCAGGGGCAATGGCATACATACAGGCTGATATGGAAGCTGTCTGCTAGCATATTTTAGGTGGACCAGCCACCAGTAATAGTGATTGTAAGGATTAATGGTAATTATATCAGGGTCCTCTTATATTCCTATTATACCACTAGTACAGGGTGGGGGATCCTCCTAGTGCGTATATCTCAGCTGAATGGCATGTAAAATGTGGAGGATACTACAGGCCCCAAGAGCTGTAAGAGGAGTATGATCGTACTTAGCTCAAGCACCCCACGAATTCCCTTAATACCCCTACAAACTAAACATGGGTCTTTGCAAAACTACCATATATGCCAGGTATCCAAAAGTTTTGGGTACATGTGACCCAAAAGGGACCGTGATTCTTGACAGCTTACCCAACCCTAAACCCTAAACCCTAAACCCTAAACCCTAAACCCTAAACCCCATATCCTGTATGAATCATCCTGTTTAACCCTACATATCCTGACACTCCCTGGAGGGATGGTGCCATCATTCCACCCTAAACCCTTAGGGTTTAGGGTTTAGGGTACCTAAATCCCATGTGTGCTACTGTTAAGTTTAGCCTCTTCTAGTTTAGTGTAGTCCCAACTACAGTCTCGAATAAGGAACCCTTGTCCATTGAATATGTAGGAAATAATGACTGTAGCTCAATGTGAACCCAGTGGCTTGAAATGCTAGAAACTCCTGCTTTGTGGGGATGGAATGGATGTGTAGAATACTGTCCCAAACTGAAGAACCTGTGGCCATATGAGCTATACTCTAAACTCCTTTTGGGGGCATACAAGGGATCATTTACGGAACTTTTATAGGGGTTAATAGGGGGGGATACTGGGACTCTAGACTATAGCTCATATGGGGATCCATGTAAGCTTGGGGGAGGGTAGTCTATGGAAGTACCTATATTCACTTCCCCACCCCCCTGCGGCAAGCTGTGTGCCAAACCCTAGACCCAACACGCATCTACCGTGAATTTTTGGGAGTTTGGGTGGTGCTTCCTTCTTCAGTGCGCTGGGACCCCAATTCAAAACTGTGTCCCTCAAAAGGGGACTTTTTTTGTGGAAAGCGCTAAGGAGAACTTTGGAATTCGCAAGTCGCTTACGGCTTAGGTCCAGGGGTTTGGGGTTTAGGGTTTGGGGCATCGGTTTAGGGTTTTGGGTCTAGGGCTTAGAACCCAGGGTCTAGGTTTTCTGGTGTTTTGGCGTGTGCCCTCCATCAGTAGACTGGGTCCCGCCGCCACCTGCACACAGAGCATAGTCCGAAATTCACTTAGTTTAAGATTCTGAGATTGCTAGATGGCATGTTGGCATACTGTATACTTTCCCTGAATGTTATCTGTGGGAACCTACCGCAAACAGCTCCGGGGGCCTTTTAAGGACCACCCAGACTATCTTTAAAACAGTCACTAGATCGCCGCGCCATGGGGATGGGTTGCACCAGGGTTTATTTAGGCTTAGGGTTTAGGGTTTAGGGAATTATGTATTTCTATTGCAGGGCGAATCAACATCTGAAGCTCCCATGTACTAGGTTTATTCATATTGCGAGTATTGGTCCCGCATTCGGACTTCTAGATACGTGCTCTTCCTTCCAGTATGTGTTCGAGAAGATCACAACTGCGTAGCCATGAGAACACCAGCGCCCCAGAATATTGACGCAGAATCAACCAGGGCATTTTTGTGAAGATCTCATGCCAAGTGCTGGTTTACAGAACAGTCCCAAAGTGTTTTTTCAGATGTTGGACTTGTTCTAAATTAGCCGAAAGAATTTTATTTCCCTGGAAACAGCCCCAAATCCTGAGCCCTAAACCCCTAAACCCTAAACCTCAAACCCTAATCCGGTCATCTGGCGCTCAATCCAGGCTGCGGCAGCCATGCAGCAAGGATCGAGCAACAGTTCCTAGGCTCAAACGGAAGCTGGGTTGCTCTTAAGGGATGGAAAGTTAAGTTACTACAAAAGGAAGCCCTAGAGTAACAATTATTGTTATCATTAGTTCTTAGATACCAATGTTAGGGTAACTTAAAATAAGTTCCTTAACAGCAACCCAGGAAGGCTTTTGCTAAGCTTGTTACCTGAGTGAGCGAGCTCACATCATCCTCCGCAGGACCCTAAGGGCCCTCCCATTTGAGAAACCTTACACAACAGGATCCTTTGTGCAATCTCTAAACCCAAAACCCTAAGGGGTCAGCAAGGTGGGCATGGTGGGACTACCATTCTTGTCAGTCATAGGGAGATAGTTTGAGTCTAAGACCGCTACAGGAGGGGAGTTCCCAAGCGTGTTTTATACCACTTTATATGAGCTAAAGTCTAAGCTCCTTAAAGGGGGCGTACATAGGAGATGGTATAGGGGAGTAATATATGAAGGAGTATACTAGGAGTCGAGACTATAGCTCATATGATTCCCCAGAACCCTGTTACATCTTCCTTATAAACAAACCTTGAGAGCCCCCCCTCATTGGATTAGGGTTTAGGGTTGAGGGTTTAGGGTTTCCCTCCTGATAGGCAGCTTGCAGCAAACGCGATGCACATCTGCTGTTCGTGCAAGTTCTCAGAGTCGGTCTGGTGGCTTGTTGCTCCTTACGCGGTCGCGCAATGTGTGTGAATCATGCAAGTACATTTCAAAAAGGCGCTTCCTTGCATCCCCCAATCCACTTGGAAGTGCTGAGCCTGAATATTTGGCCCCTATGAACCCTAAAACCTAAACCCTAAAACCTAAACCCTAAAACCTAAACCCTAAAACCTAAAACCTAAACCCTAAACCCTAAAACCCAAACCCTAGGTGGAAAGCCATGCTAAGGCGAATCCTCTAACAAGGAGGCCGCTGATGGAAATTCCAATCAGATGGGAAACATGATGAAGGCTCGCCATTTCTTCAGCCCTAAACCCTAAGGGTTTAGGGTTTAGGGTTTAGGGTTTATCCTTTATCCTAAAGCCCTAAAACATTTTTTGATTCCACCCTAAACCCAAAATCCAACCGCGTTGATGTTTTAGAAGCGGTCCTGAGTAGAATGGTTCGTCCGCAAGGCATCTCATTTTTTTGGATCTGCAGCTTCAGCATTCATGCTAACATTTGGGTCATTCCCCCTTACAGTACCTGTCTTTTCAGGGGCTTTACTAACGGGCAAATATGACTCCCAGGATTTCTTGTGGTAGCTGTTACTGTAAGGGCAACAACCTTAGACCGTATGTTTTGCCAGGCAATGATGAATATGATGCCTATGATGATGGGCAGCTCGGACAGATGCAATATGTGCTTGGTTTTCTTGCGGCGTTGTACCATCCGCCAAACAAACATGCGATCCCATGTTGACCCCTGTTAAAAACTACAAGTTAAGCCCTGGGCCCTATGCAGGCCTCCTCTTAAGGTTCCATCTTAGCCTGCGTGAGTCTACAATGAGCCTGGATCGCTTGGATGTTGGCTTTTTTGCATGAGGCATCTGTTAGCCCTAGACATAGCAATATGTGTGGTTGTCAAAATTATGGTCCCCTTTTGGATCCCTATTATACTACGGCACCTAATATTTAGGGTACCTTAAAGGGGACCATAATTTTGACAGCCCCCCCATATGGAGGTTTAAGGATCATTCCAAAAACTTGCTGACAAGTAGGAGAGAGGTACGGGTATGGCGAGCTCGTACGATCCTAATTCCCTTGAGGTTCCTTAAACCCTATACCAAGGATTTAGGGTTTAGGGTTTCCCTAAACCCCCAGTTGCTATGCGCTTTGAAAAGGCTGGGATGCATACTTGGTAGTTGATCAGAAATTTGGTTCCCAGCATGGCCATTATCTAAAAAGTAGTTTCCCTTATGATTTTTTTGTAATTCAGACCTGCAAGATCCCTAACAAATTTCTTCAGAGGACGTTTAGATCAACCCCCACATACCTCCAAAAACCCAAACCCCATGAATCACCATATAATCCCAGCTTCCATGTTATGTTCCATGTCCTTTTCCGTTTGATTCTCCATTATTCGCCGTACATTCGCCGTATATTCGCCGTATATTTAGGAAGCCTAACATCCCCAAAATCTCGACCCCTCCCCCCCGCCTCTTCGAAACGCTAAACCATATCGCTACATGTCCCTACATGTCCCTCGTATATTAATTATATAGGCCTATATGACGTTATAGCAGAGCCACACCGCCGGGACCTTGCACAGGTGGACTTCGAAAATAGTATGAGCATAGGGTAGAACAGGGAACATCACATGTTATAAGGGGGTTTGGGGTTAAGGGTTAAAAGCATACTGGCTAAGTCCCTTGGACTCTCAAAGTGGAAGGGGACAAAGATGCAAAGAGAGAAGACAAAGTCGCAAGGCAGAGGGGCCAGAGGAGAATGGCACTAGAGCAGCAGAGAGCGGAAGTAAGAAGGAAGAGCAATCAGCTGCTGACAAGGCATGAACCCCATGATGATGATGGGTTGTGGCAACTGCGGTGGCGGTGGCTGCGGTGGTGGCTGTGCCGGCGGCTGCGGCGGCTGCGGAGGTTGCGGCGGCTGCGGCGCTGGCTGCGGAAGCGCCTGTGGAACTGGCTGCGGATGCCCAGGCTGCTGTGGTGGCTGTGGGTGTCCGGGCTGCCCGTGCCGTCCATGCGGGCCAGGGGCTCAGCTTGCGTGCTGTGAAACTGTCTAATATGATGCTATATTAACATAAATGAAGAATCAAGTAAACAAGAAAGGGGAATATGAAGTGTAAATTATGGCGTCTTGTATATCCTAGTTTCTATCTTACATGGCTTTTGTTGTTATTTTACGTGGTTTTCTCTTATAAGGGGATAGTGAAGCTGCAACAAACTAACGACTTCTTGGGTTATCATAGACCCAATATACCATGGTAGTTTCCATTTTCTTTTCCAGTATCCCCAATATAACCCAAAATATAACCCCAATTCATTGATTCAGGTGCGGTGGCTGCCCCTGTGGCGGCTGCCCATGCGGCGGCTGTGCTGGCTGCTGTCCAGGCTGCGGATGCAGCGGTGGTAGCTGCGGAAGCTGGGTTGCTGTTAAGGAATTGAATTTAAGTTACTCTGCTGGGGAAACCCTATTACCTACTCTATATGTATATATATATATACCCACTATGGTAAGTGTGCTTACGTTCCCTAACACCAACCCAGGAAGCTGTGGCGGCTGCGGCAATTGCTGCGGTGGCTGTGGCAGCTGCAGTGGCTGTGGTAGTTGCGGATGTGGCAGCTGCGGCTGTGGGTGCGGCGGCTGCCCTGGCTGTGGTGGATGCTGTGGGGGTTGCGGGTGTGGCGGCTGCCCCTGTGGAGGCTGCGGAGGTTGCGGTTGTGGTGGCTGTATGGGCTGCGGCTGCGGCTGCAGCGGAGGCGGAAGTGTCGGCAGCTGTAGTGGAGGCAACTGCAATGCGTGCGGCAGCTGCTAGCTTGCTGTTAAGGAACATAAATTAAGTTACTATATTGGTGAAACCTGTTGGGGAAACTATATTTGTTATATATACCCATTATGGTACTTTCGTTTAAGTTCCTTAACAGCAACGCAGGCTGTACTGGGTGTCCAGCAGTCGGTGGTGCGGCAAGTGGAGCGAGCGCGCCAAGCTTCTTGGCTTCTCTAGCTTGCTTTTTTGCTGCTGTTAAGCCTGTGAAGCAACTTAATTAAGCTAGGTAGCCATGCATGGATATACATATATACATGTATAGATATATACATATACATGTATGTATATATACGTATACATACATATAATATGTAGTGAAAATGATGTTGTCTCAGAGCAGTTATCTTTGTTGTTCCTCAACCGCAATCTAGTGTTCGTTGTTCCGTCCCGCAACACCCCTAAACCCCTAAGACCCTAAACCCTGAAAATCCAACGACGGTTTCCTTTATCAGCGCTGGTCTAGAGGCGGTTTCTGGTACAGGCGTTTGGCGATTCACCGTCCTGTTTTTGAATGATGTTCCGCGTCACCATTATTTGAAGGGCTTCAGTTTGAGCAGCACGCCAACCCTAAACCCTAAGCTGGAGGCGTTAAACAAGACCTCAGGAGACTGCAGGACGAGTTGCCACCATGCTGGTAACAACATCATGTGAGCTATAGTGTGAACTCGTGGGGTTTAGGGTTTAGGGTTCAGGATTTAGGGTTTAGGGTTTGGGGTTTAGGGCTTGGGGTTTAGGATTTAAGGTTTCGGGTCCAAACTCATTAAAGGGAGTTATATAGTAGAGGTTTAGGGGACTATTATAGGTGTTATTAAAGGGGGATATTTGGAGTTTAGATTGATAATAGCTCATGTAAGCATGATTCACGCATTTTGTGCTTGTTTTCGGGCAAAAACGTTCAAAAAATCTGTTCAGGCGCGCGAGGGGTTCACAGAAACATGTGTTCACGGGTTTAGGCGGGTTTCCATGCCTATTTCACGCCGTTTTCACGCTCCTGTCTGCTTTGGCCATTTGCCGCCACTTCTGGGCGTCCAGGCCAACTCGGGGTGTGAATGAAGCATGGTGGGTGTGAATCATGCGTTTTTTGCGTGCTTGGTGCCTGTTTTCTGGGTTGCTGCTAAGGAACTTAGGCTTAGTTACCATAATGGTTATATGTAGTCATTAATATTGTTTCCCCAATATAGTAGCATAAACTAAGTTCCTTAGCAGCAGCCCAGTTGTTTCTCAGCCAGCAAAGCCCCAAGAATCTGAACAAAGCATTCGCGGAAATATTGCGACAGACTGGCGGCAGGTTCATGTGGGCAATCGTCTAAACTCAAAGGTGTCGAATATACGGGATCATATAGGGGACTA